TTTTTGAGGGCGCATCCCTAAGACTGTCATCGCCTTCTCGCGTGTCAATCTTAGGGATAGGGATAAGCTCGAGGCTGGCGATGCACGGGAGCATCCAACAAGCACGAAGAGCACCAGGGTGCCCCCCCGACCCGACCTCCAGCCTGCGCCTCGGCCCGTCTGCGCGCGCTTCGCCCACGGCAGGCCTCCACCGGCGGCGGCCCCGAGCTTGTCGACGAGGCGTCGTCGGCGGGCGCGGGCGGCGCCAGGCCGCTGGGCGGCGCCGGGCGGCGCGCCGCGGCCTTTCGCGGGGGAGAGGGGCGCGCGCGCGCGGCTGGTCGAGCAGACGACGACGACGACGACGACGACGACGACGACGACGACGACGACGACGACGACGACGACGACGACGACCATGACGGCCGCGGGAGCGCGGTGGGATCCTCAGGTGAGATGTGAGATGCCACCCTCTGGTGAAATGGCCGAGGGGGTTGCTTCCGGGTGTGAACGGTTTCGGGCCCTGCGAAACCGAAGCCGTTGACACGCTAAGCAGCGCATGGGCGTATACGCTGAGTAAGGTCGGGTGAAACAGCTCTCGGATATACACGCAAAGTACCAACCACGCAGGGTACACGCTCATTGCGGAGCACTTAGCGCGTATAGGCGTATTCCCAACTACGCGCTAAGAGTATGACCCGGGGGGGGGGGGTACCCATCTTTCTCATTCATTTTTCGAGCCGGATCGATCTGTGAGGGTCCGGGGGCCCGAAACGGCGGAGAGGGGGGGAGGCAGCGAACAGGGGAGGTGAGCGCAAACCCGACTGCCAAGGTCTTGCAGAGAATCGAGGTGGAGCTCTTCTCCCCATGCCTCTGGGGTGGGGGGGGGAATCGCGGGCGGGGGGAGGGGGCCCCTGCGCCTCGGGAGCGTGAAGAAGCGGGATGGCAAGATGGTCCCCAGTAAAGGGGGGAAGAGGCAAGGAGGGGTTCTATAGTATACATACGCACGGAGAGGGAAGAAGAGAGAAAGAGAGAGAGAGAGAGATAGGGAGGAAGCAGGGGGGGAGAGAGACGAGGGAATGGGGAGAGGAGGGAAGGTGGAGGGAAAAGGGAAGGGTGAGGGAGGAGGGAGGAAACGAGGATGATGATGATGATGCTGATGATGATGATGCTGCTGCTGCTGATGTTGATGATGATGATGCTGATGCTGATGCTGATGCTGCTGATGATGATGATGATGATGATGACGAGGAGGAGGAGGACAAGAATGATGATAAGTCGCCGGCCCAACGGGCCAAAGGCGTGATGAGATCTGCGGTGACTGGTTCAGAGTGTTCTAGTTCGCGCGCGCTTGGGGCCGCCCCTGGGGGTCCCCGGCCAACAAGTACCCCGGCAAGGTCGGATCAGAGACGGTCTTGCTCCTCCTGGGCGCCGCCCCTCGGGGCCCCCCGTAAAGCCTCAAGAAGGGCCAAGGGGCCTCCCCAAAGGCCCTCAAGATGGTCCAGGAGGTGTCCTGGACACTACCAGATCGCTCCAAGACGCCAAACATGGGCCTAAGACGGCCCAAGAGCCATCCAAGAGCCCCCAACATGCAAAAGTCATAGAGTTCCCTCGGTTTTTGGAAGGATTTTGGCATTCTCGCCTTTGCAGCTTCCCGACGCTCAGAAACGGCCTAAGAGGCCCCAAGATCGCCCCTAAGAGGCCCCCTAAGCGGGCTCTAAGACGGCACAAGAGAGCCCAAGACGGCTCAAGAGGCCTCCAAAAACGGCCCAAGAGGTCCCGATGACGGCTCCCGAAAGGAACCCAGACGGGGGACACGAACGGACAGTTCGAGCCCTCGGCCCCAAGAAGCCCCCAGGAGGCACCAAGGGGTCCCCCAAAGGCCCCCGAGAGGCCCCGAGAGGCCGCCAAGAGGCCCCTATGAAGCCCCAAGAGACCCCAAAGATGCTCCCAAGACGCTCCCAAGAGTCCCCAGAACTGCCCTTCAGAAGTTCCCGAGGGCGCTCCGAAGAGACCCCCAAAAGCATCTCCGAGGACTCTGACCCAGAACTTAGCCATGTCGGTGAGCAGTACAGGCCCAAACCTCCACGACAAGCTTCAAAGCAACTACTTCACATCCATGCCTGCTGTCGCCACGCCTCTCTCTCTCTCTCTCTTTCTTTCTTTATTTCTTTCTTTCTTTCTCTCTCTCTCTCTCTCTATATATATATATATGAACGCCAAGCAGCGCCGCATGGGCCACGAAGGCGCTGGCAAGCGCCAGCGATGGCAAGATTTGGGCCAGTGGAATGAGCGAAGCGATGAAATATGAGACAGACGGACAGACAGACAGACAGACAGACAGAAAGAGAGAGAGAGAGAGAGAGTGAGAGAGAGCGAGAGAGAACACGGTGTTCCAGCTCTGTTCCAGCTGCGTGAGCGCGAGAGCGTGAGCAAGTGAGCGAGAGCGAGAGAGCGAGAGAGCGAGAGGGAGAGGGAGCGCGAGAGCGCGCGCGCTGCAGCACAGGTGCTCCAGCTCTGGCGGGGCGCGGCGGCCCAGCCGCAGTCGAGAGGCGCCTCGCGGCGGCCGCGATGCCGTGATCGGAGTTGGCGCCCCACCGCTGCGGGGCCGACGGGCCCGGCGACGGGGGAAGGGAGCAGCTTGCGAACCACGAGCCGACTGGAGGCCTCCCGGATGGGGTCCGAGCACTCCGAGTTTCTTAATAAGCGTCGGGGGGGCGTCACTCCCGCCGACAGCCCCACATCGGCCCCCGTCGCGGGCAGCCGCCGCGCGCGGCGCGACGACGAGGCGAGGTTGATCCCCGTCGGGGGGGTACCCCCCCATGCTTATTAAGAAACCCAGAGCAGATGGGGTCGGGGGATCGGGCCGCACCGGCGATGCATCGGCGACGTCGGCGAGGCATCGGCGCCATGGGCGTGGAGAACATCGGGCTCCACATCGAGCCGCATCGCTGGTGCATCGGCGATGCGGCGAGACCCTCCGACCCCATCTACTCGGACCCCATATAGGAGGCCTAGACTGGCGTCACATGGGCCTCAGAGCTCAGTGGATATCAGAAACGACCAGGCTTTTTTCAAATCGTTTTACCAGAACCTTGGATCTTGAGAAGAAAAGCGGTGCAAAAGAAAAACGCTTCACCGAAACGAGAAAAGACTGCTCCAGAATCGAAGCTGGAGCCGGAACTGGAAAAACATCGGCGACGGAACGGACACAGAAACGGCGCCAGAACCGGGGGGACAAAAACAGCAACAACTGTCCAAGACAAGCCCGCGTCGTGAAGCAAAATCAAGACGGGACGTTTTAGGTTGTTTTCAGCCCTGGGGGCTAAAACTGGTCCCCGGGACCGAATCGGGACTTCCAGACCAGGTGCTGGAACACATCACGACATCGCATATCTGGGACGGGAAGGGAGCCCCGCACGCAGCGAAGCCCTCCTCTCTTCTCGCGCTCCGCACCCGTGGCGTCGGCCGAAGAAGCCCCCCGCCCCCTCCGTCCTCGGCGAACCTGCGGGGCCCCCCGCAATTCCTAAGGGGCGCCATCGAGAAGATCGGGAAACGCCTGCCTGCCCCCCTGCCACGACTCTGCACGGATGCCCACATCGGCGCGCCTTTGGGTGGGCCTGGCCAGGGGCCCAAGGACACACACACACACGCCTCTGGCCAACACGAGACGGGGAACGCCACAGGAGCGCAGGAGGGTCTCGCCCATGCACCCGGGGCGAGGGGAAGGGCGCGGAGACGGAGGACTTCCCCCCCCCCCCTGCCCCCGCCCCCCCCCCGCCCTCCCCTCCCGGCCCGAAGGGGCAGAGCCCGGAGCTCCGACGACGCGCAGGCACTGCAGCACGGGGAAGAACCACGACCGGACCCCAGGATCCCATCTCTCTGCGCCCTTTCTCGAGCCCCATCGACCCGAGACGGTCCCGGGGCCCGCCGCCCGGCGAGCACACCCCGTGTGGAAGAATAGCTGCAACGCCCGGACCTCGAGGGAGGGCTCACGCGGACCACACTGCCAGGCCTGCGAGCGCGCCGCCTCTGCACCGGCCCTGTGCCGAGGAGGCACTGCCCAAGGGGGGCCCCGGATCTCGAGCTGGGTCGGGCAGGTCCTCATACAGGCAGACTCTGGAAGAACAGGGTCGATCCACGAACCCGGAAAGGAACATAGAAACGTAAGGCATGGCGGCGTCTTCAAGACACCTGATTGGGCGACGGGCAATTGCAATGCTGAGAGTATCGATCTTGACGTATCGTGCCGAGGGCTGTGCTGTGCTGCGCCATGCTGAATTGCGATGTGCCATGCCGCCATTGTGCTCTGTAGCGTTGTGGATCGAGTCCCCCTTTGCATCCGAGTCCTGACCGACCTGATCTGGATCTTAAGCTCGAGCTGCCTGAGCACATATTAGCTGCCCCAGAGCTAACTGACAGGGGGACATGCCAGGGGGACGCGGCGAGGAACGTCCCAAGGGACACGCCAGGGGACGAGCCAGGGGACGTGCCATGGGGACGCTCCGTGGGACGTGCCAAGGGGGACGCGCTACGGAACGTGCCCAATGGACGTGTCACGGAACGTGCCGGGAGACGCGCCGTGCGACGTGCCAGGGGGACTCGACACGGGATGCGCCACGGAACGCGCCAGGGAACGTGCCAGAAAATGCGTCAAGGAACGTGCCGCGGGACGCCCATGACCCAGGGCCAGGATCCCTCGTGAATTACAATGCGTCCGCGCTCGCAGGGCCACGTTCCCTCGTAAATTACGCTGCGTCCGCGCTCCCAGGGCCACGATCCCTCGTACATTGCGCTGCGTCCGCTCTCCCTGGGCCACGATCTCATGTAAGCTACGCTGCGTCCGCGCTCCCAAGGCCGCGCTTCCTCGTGAATTACGCTGTGTCCACGCTCCCGGGGTCACGTTCCTCGGTAAATTACACTGTGTCAGCCCCCCAGGGCCACAAGCCCTTCTAAATTACACTGCGTCGGGACGCCCCTGACCCAGGGCCAGGTTCCCTCGTGAATTACGATGCGTCCGCGCTCGCAGGGGCCGCGCTCCCTCGTGAACTACGCCGTGTCCGCGCTTCCAGGGTCACGTTCCCTAGTAAATTGCGTTGTGTCAGCCCCCCAAGGGCTACGTACGATCCACTGAAAATTATACTGCGTCTTCGCTGCCAGGGCCACGATCCATCGTAAATTACACTGCGTCCGCGCTTCCAGGGCCACGATCCCTTGTACATTGCGCTGCGTCCGCTCCCTGGGCCACGATCCCTTGTAAACTACGCTGCGTCCGCGCTCCCAAGGCCGCGCTGCCTCGTGAATCACGCTGTGTCCGCGGTCCAAGGGCCACGTCCCCTCGTGAATTGCGTTGTTTTCTCCCCTGGGCCGCGCTCCCTCGTAAATTAGGCTGCGTCCGCGCTCCCATGGCCGCGCTCCCTCGTAAATTACGCTGCGTCCGTTCTCCCAGATTATGATGTTTTCGTAAAAGTTCGCTGCGTCCGCGCTCCCAGGGCCGCGCTGCCTCGTGAATTACACAGTGTCCGCGCTCCCAGGGCCACGTTCCCTGTTGAATTACGCTGGGTTCGCGCCTCCGAGGCCAGGATCCATCGTCAATTACGCTGCGTCCGCGCTCCCAGGGCCACGATCCTGCGCAAATTATCCGCGCTCCCAGGGCCACGTTCCTTAGTGAAAAAAAAGTCTGACTGCACTCCCAGAACCACTTGGACAAGCGCTGCAACACAAGCGGCTCGCCCGAAGCATCCTTAGATGTTCGGCACGCAGGGTGCGCCATCCCCGAGCGGGCACGCAAAACGCCAACATTCCTTCTGCAAAACAGGCGCGGGGCTCGAGACATCCTCGAAACTCATGCGCGCGGGACGCGCCATCTTCGAGTGGGCACGCAACACATAAATTGCGCCATGCTTTCACAACGGCCTGTCTAAGATTTCAGGGTCTCCATACCTTGCTATTGTATTGGGATTCTGCGCAAAACGCTCCGCACCCTCTTCTTCTAGGTCTGCGGACCCCACTAGGCAACGAGGATCCGACATGGGGGGGGCACATGCTCCTCGAGCGGGCACGCGCGAAACGCATTATTTCAACGCCGAGTGGGACTTCACCTTGTTCTTATAACAAGACAATTTCGCCAACCCGTCACAAGTCGTCCCTGGGGGTACAACCTCTAAAAGAGAACCCTGGGCTGGAACCCTTTCCTTGATATGTATATATTTACATAGTTATATAGATGTATATGTATGTATGTCTGTATGTATGTGTATATATATGTGTATATATATATATATATATATATATATATATATATATATATCAACATGATCGGCCCACGACTCGGAAAAGGAATATATAGAAATGTAAGGCATGGCAACGTTCCAAAGACACCTGACTGGGCGACGGGCAATTGCAATGCTGAATGTATCGATTTTGATGTACCGTGTCGAGGGCTGTGCTGTGCTGCGTCGTGCTGAAATGCGATGTGCCATGCCGCGATTCTGCTCTATAGCGTTGTGAGACCTGACCGAACTGATCTGGATCTTGAGCTCGAGCTGTCTGAGCACATAGCAGCTGCCCCAGAGCTACTTGACAAGTGAACATGACAGGAGGACGCGCCGCGGAACGTCCCAAGGGACGCGCCAGGGGACGTACCAAGGGACGTGCCAAAGGGACGCACCGCGGGACGTGCCAAGGGGGACGCGCTACGGTAAGTGTATATTGACGCGCCACGGGACGTGCCAGGGGACGCGCCGCGCGACGTGCCAGGAGGACTCGCCGCGGGACGCGCCACAGAACGTGCCAAGGAACGTGCCAAATTGCGATGCTGAGTGTATCAATCGTAATGTACCGCGCCGAAAGCTGTGCGGTGCTCCGCCGTGCTGAAATGCGATGTGCCATGCCGCGATTGTGCTCTATAGCGTTGTGGATCGAGTCCTCCTTTGCATCCGAGTCCCGACCGAGCTGATCTGGATCTTGAGCTCGAGCTCCTTGAGCACGTAGTAGCTGCGCAAGAGCTGGTTGACAGGGGGACATGCCAGGAGAACGCGCCGCGATACGTCCCAAGGGACGCGCCAGGTGACGTGCCAGGGGACGTGCCACGGGAACGCACCGAGGGACGTGCCAAGGGGACGCGCTACGGAACGTGCCAATGGACGTGCCACCTCACGCTAGACATCCGCCTGAGCGAACTGGACACGTGAAGAAAACATGCGATTCGATCGAGAAATCCTCAACACATCTTCATAATAGACGTCCGGCCCAGGCCCCCAGGAAGGCCCCAGGAGGCCACGTTAGATACCCCTAGGTGGCCTGGGCACGTTAAAGCACCTGGTTCCGCCATATTAAAAACGCCCCTGTGCGGCCTGGACGCGTAAAACCACGTGGTTCCAGCTCGGGACAATCATGTCAAATACCCCCATGGGTGGCCTGGACACGTAAACACACGTGGGACCAGCTCTGGGCAACCATGTTAGATACCCCCCTGAGTGGCCTGGACACGTAGAAACATGTGGTCCTTGCTCGGGGCAACCATATTGGATATCCCCCTGGGTGGCCTGGACACGTTAGAACACGTCGTCCCTGCTCGAGACAACCATGTTCGATCCCCCCCTGGGTAGCCTGGACACGAAAAAACACATGGTTCCAGCTCGGGAGAACCACGTTAGATATCCCCCTGGGTGGCCTGGACATGTAAAAACACGTGGTTCCAGCTCGGAGCCACCATGTTTGATACCCCCTTGGTGGCCTGGGCACGTAAAAACACATCGCTCCAACTCAGGAGAATTATATTAGATATCCCCCATGGGTGGCCTGGATATGTAAACACGCGTGGTTCCAGCTCGGGACAACTATGTTAGATATCCCCCTAGGTGGCCTGGGCACGTAAAAACACATCGTTCCAGCTCAGGGGAACCATGTTAGATATCCCCCCTGGGTGGCCTGGACATGTAAACACGCGTCGTTCCAGCTCGGGACAACTATGTTAGATACCCCCCTGCGTGGTCTGGACACGTAAAAACACATGTTACCAGCTCGGGACAGACATGTTAGATATACCCCTGAGTAGCCTGGGCATGTTAAGGTATGTGGTCCTTGTTCGGGACAATCATGGTCGCTACCCCCCTGGGTGGCCTGGACACGTAAAAACACGTGGTGCCAGCTCGGGACAACCATGCCAGATACTCCCCTGCGTGGCCTGGATACGCAGAATTCCCGCTCCCGCTCGAGATATCCTCGCAATGTCTGCCCTGGAGAGGCCCCCCAAAGCGCCACCCTTGTTCAGAGCAAGAAAACATAACTTTTCTGGATTGGGATATGTAGCGCTTTTCGCATTCCCCCCCCCCCCCTGGGTTTCCTGATAAGTCGGCACTGGGTCCGACGCCATGTTAGATACCCCCAGGGCGGCCTGGACACGTAAAAACACGTGGGTTCAGCTCTGGGCAACCATGTTAGATACACCCCTGGGTGGCCTGGACAAGTTAAAACACATGCTCCTTGCTCGGGACAACCATGTTTGATGCCATCCTGGGTGGCCTGGACAAGTAAAAACACATGGTGCCAGCTCCTGGCAACCATATTAGACACACCCCTGGGCGGCCTGAATACAT